AACGGACCTAAATGGTCCAAATACAAGTCCCTGTGTGAATCATAGATTTTAGGTTAAGTGAAAATGTCTTCTTTCGCTTTTTTGCAAAAGAATGCACCTAATATCAAATACCCAAAGATTGTATAAAATGTTAGTTCACCGTGAAGCTTTATATGTAAGTATATTTACTTTAATTAAAAAAAAAAACTTGGCATATTACAGGGGTGGACAAGGCCGAGGCCGAAAAGAGCCACATGTAAATTCTAAGTGCTACAAAGAGCCACACAAAAAAAAAAATTATTTTTACATAAAATTATTATTAGAAATGAAAAACATTAATTTTATTATTATTCTAATGTACGTGAGATAGATATTAAAAGAAATTCAAAAGACCTCTTTGGCCAAATTTTCAAAATCTGGTTTTACGTCAGTTAAAGCCGTTCGTAACCGTTCTGTTAAATGTTGTTAGTCGTTCAAAATCTCCAGGAAAAAATGTCCAACAGCGAAATTCCGGCGAAATGTCATCTGTTCTCTCACNAGTTCAAAGCCTCTAGTAAAAAATGTCCAATGTCATACATATGTTCTCTCACAAGATAAATATGTATATCCAAAATAGTACGCGAACAGAAAATTTGCAGAGACTTGCAAGTTAGACGAACAGCTTTTAGAAATTTTGTTTACATTCAAAAGTATAAAATTGACAACGTAAGAAAACAAATCCCGAAGTCTTATCCTGACACAGTTCACTGACTAAACGAATAATTACTTCCTTCTTACAAGTTTAATTAGTCGCATTTTACTTTTTTAACTTCCAAACCATCAAATTCAATTTAGGGATTTGCGTAAATTCCAGACAGCTGCTTTCGATCAGCTGTTTCCTTGTTGGCAAATTGCTGTTGGCAAAAATTTTTCCAGCAGAAACTAACAGCTTCCCCTCAAAATGAAATGTCACCTTGCTCTCTCAATGTCCCCTACTTTGCAAGTTTTTTGCGTACGCGATCGCAAAAAGCTGAGAGTCTTTGATAACTTTTAATATTTAACAGGTACGCGAATGCAACTAATTGTAAACAGTGTTTTGACTAAGAATTTCATTGTAGAGTACAAAGACTCACAGTTATACGTTATACCAAAAATTTAAAATATACAGCACGCAGCTTTTTTCAACAGCGGATGTGTATATTTTAAATCTGGTACTTGTTGCAATGGCAAAGCTTTATGTTGAATTTCCAGTGCCTTATCTTCTTTTAATTCCAAAAACTCCATGTGTATATTAAAATATAAAATAAACAAAAAAAAACAACACAATGGAAAAGAATATCCAGCAAGGAAATATGTATTTTAAAAAGTTAAAAGAGCCAAAATGTTCTAATCAAAAAGAAAATAAAAAGAGCCGCACTTTGCTAAGCAAAGAGCCGCATTTGGCCCAAAGAGCCGCGATTGCCCACCGTTGGCATATTATTTGCTATACATACCTATCATCTGTAGTACCAATCACTTTAGTCAAATTGGCGGGAGGGAAGACATATCCACAACTCAAACTGTTCAACAATCCCAACGCACGATGTTGTACACGAAAATTGAAACGATTTGGCCGAAAAATAATATCGTAACTTTTTTTCAAATCAAAATCCGGACATTTCTTAGTTATTTTTTTGACATATACTGTATTTTTTTTAACCGTCTCCAAAACTCTCACATGGCGTCGCAGTTCATCATCTGTGTTCACATTTTCATGCCCATGAACCGTAAGCAAATCTATCGGAAATTTAATTCCACTTTGTGCGAAAGCCGTACTTTGCCGTGGAACAAAGACCACTTCATCAGTTTTGAAACTAAGCACATCATCGATATTGATATTTGGCTTCTTTTTCATCTATATATTTTTGTAGTAATTCAGTGAATTTGAGTTTAAAAGTCATTACATGCTACACAAATATGTATGTAGGTCCAGCTATAACTTACCTCAAATTCAAGACGTTTCTTACCACTTTTTTTTGCTTTAATACCGTTAAGACGTAAGCTGCAGTACGGCTGCATTGTATGTGCATCTTCTATTTGCAGTAAATGCCCCAGTATTTCGGTTATGTTACTTGGCTGGAGCTGCTGACAATTCAAATATTTCCTGAATTGGCATTAATTGTAAAAATGATCTCTTCAAAAATGTAAGCAAAAATTAATAATTTTGGTGCAACTTACTTTAAGTATGGATTGTACTTTACCAAAAACTCCTCGGAAAATTTTTTAGTTTGTGCCAATTTTATGTTATAGTTGGGGTAGTAGTGATTCAGCACTGTGATTGATGTGAAATTCCTTTACAATACAAAAAATCACATTAGCAAATAATTAAAGAGAAATTACAGGCGATCGGCTCACTTATGCCGGGTTTCTATTAGGCATTGAAACGACAAAAAATTTGTGCCATTTAATAAATGACCGCTGAAAATTTCATCCAATTCAATGAAATAGATCTTGAGATATTATTATTATTGTTGGGGATAAAGCACTGCGACCTTAAGATTTATTCCGCCTTATCTTGAGTTTTGCCTGAAAAAAAATTCACCCGAAAATTTGTCATCCGCTCATAGTAAAGCCATGGAGAAAACAAAAGTGAAAAGTGAACGGGTTCGGGGAAAATTAAACTCATGATAAGACTGATTGTTTCTTGAGATATAGTCAAAACGAAGAAAAAATGTCATACAAGTTGTTGATGTCAATAACTAGCAAAATAAATATTTTTGCAAAGTTATATTTTGGGAATCGCTTTCGATGATCCCGTATTGATTCTAAACCATATTTATATTGAAAAAGAAATTTTAGTGATCGGC